TCGTCACCATGGGAATAATATTATCAAGATTTCGCGTAAGTCTCTGTGTCAATATTTGTAAAAGAAATATCGGTGATCGGTTACTCTTTTTAAGGTTAACGTTCTGCCATATCTAGACCTTTTTGTGATGCATTTAAAAATTATTCTGCGGCCGTGCTATAACCGTGGCGCACAGAGAACTGCAAATAATTGATATTTCATGTTTTCTGAAAGTTGGGATTAAGTCAACGTAAAGATATAAGTTTACGGTTGATAGGTTTTCGAGGTTAGGCGCGAAGATAAGAAGGGTTTGAACGAAACTTAATGGGATGTAACATATGTGGATCTCTTTAGAAACTGCACCGTGTGCGCAAGTTCTTGTAACGTTATACTTTATCGTCCAGTTACTTCAGAAAAGTTTGCGGTTCTTAATGCTCGGTAATTTTTCAAAATTGAATAGTTATTTATTCAGTAGAATTAGCATGTGACACAATATTACCATTCAATGACCAGTGTCATCCTGTTTTAACTTTTTACTGCTGATTTCAAAATACCTCATTGTATTATGTAAAATATCTTACTCTATCTTAGTGCATAATTTTTTAAAAGGCAGAATGATTTGGCAGAACCTATTGAAAGCTACAAATTAACATTCGATACATGTAGTTATAAGCTTATACATTATTATTCTATCAATATGCCTGAATTCACAATGATGAATTCATTTGAATAGAAAGGTTGTTTACAGTTATATGGGTACATAAATACATATAGTTATACGGACATATATTTTTTCTTTTTACAATGACAAATGTGTAACAAAACAAATTTTTGTGCATTTCAGAAAAAGAAAACCACTATCGAAATTTTAGAAAGTCTTGATTCGGTAAGGAGTTTATGGTTTCTTGAATATTTTCCATATGAAATCTTTGAAATTTCTAATTAAATATTTTTGTAACAGAAAATTAAAGAGATCGAGAGATATGGGCACACGACAGAACAAAGGCATAAAAGAATTGTTGGCACACTCATTTTGTATAGTGTGATACTTTATATAATATCAGCATTCATTTTTTATTTCTGCTTCTTTCCTGCATCGTTACACGATCAAATATTTTATATCATTCCATTATTAATTTTTCCTATTGTGTAAGTACTTTATTTTTACATATATCTCACGCATTCTGTCATATTACCCAAAAAATATTAATTAATCGTTTAACTATTGTAGAATATTGCTTACAAAAAAGATGGTTACATGGTATTACAAACGTAAAATCTCTGAAAATCAAGAAAAATTGAGTGTAATGCAATTGGAAAAAAAGAAAATTCTAGATGAAGTAACAGAAACTGAGACATACAAGAAAGCTAAAGAGATTTTGTTGAAATTCGCTCCTGATCAATTAAAAATGACACCTGTGAGTAAAATAGTAATATAAAAGTATTTAAGTACATTTTTTTATTTTGAATTTATTTTAATTGGATTTTTTTCTGTGTATTTCAGCTGTCTCCCCAGGTTTGTATCATAATTAAATTTCTTCTCTTGTAAAAACAGTAGGTTCTAATGGAACACAGTGAAGAAGAGATGAAAACTAAAAAAAAAACTTTATTTTAGTCACCTTATAGAATACCACCACCCTCAGAAACTACCGAAAGATCTGTTTCACCACAAACTATGTCATCCCCAGTATCTAGTTCTGGAGAACTGAGAAAGAGAGTACTGACATCTCAAAAACAAGTACTAAATGTGCAAAGGGGTACACCTAGTAACACTGGCCTTGTCCCAGTTGGCGTAGCTCCCATTCCAACATCACCCATTGGCTTCCAGAGTGGTGTTAGACCAGTCACTCCAGTTATGGGTTATCGTTAGTATTTTTAAAATTATATTTATTATTATTATTAATATTATATAAATAAAAGATTAAAATTAAAATTTTTTAGACATTAATGTAATGTATTTAAAGGATGATTTTTTCCTTTTGTCAATCACATGACCTCTATATAAGTGTGCTATTGTCCTTCATTATTCATTTACAAGAATTTGCATCGAGAAATTGTAAATTTACTTATGCAATAGGACCGACGTTACCACGGCCGATATTACCACGTGAAAGGAGTTATTTAGAATTGTTAATCGACTACATGGTGGGTGATGGTCCGTCAAACCGGTATGCATTAATTTGTCGTCACTGCGAGTCGCACAATGGAATGTCATTAAAAGAAGAATTTGAATATTTTGGTAAACATCTGTTATAAACTACAAAAAGAGTTAAGTATGCAAATCGAATTTTAATATTAAATGTTTTAAATATACTTCTTTGTTCATTATAGGATATAAGTGTTGCTACTGTAATAGTTGGAATCCTCCAAGGAAGCAGAAATGTGCTGCACCCAGACTGGAGCCTACTGAATCATCGAGTCCAACAGATACAGGTTTGAATGCACTTCGATACAATTCTTAGAAAACAAAATATTGTTTTCATGAAAATGTTTAAATTCATTTATTTCTTATATTTAGACTCAGATATCGAAGTAGTTGAAAATCCAGCAGATATAGAAGAAATTGACAATACCACTCAAGAGGTCAAAAAAGAGTGTGGTAAGATCTTTATAAGTGTATTTTTTTACTTTAACCTTCCTTCTGGTTTTATAAGTATATACAATTGTAGATGAACCAGATGCTGCAGAACCCGAGAAAGAAAGAAAAGAAAAAGATACAGAAGACACGTGTGAAGAAACTGTTGAAAAAATGGATGTTGACGAATCTTTATCTTAACAAGATCACCTTTTCAATGATTTTGTGACAAAAGTACGTGGATAGGTACATGCATATAGCGAAGCTGTAAATACTATGTTACTGATGTAGTCTTTGAAAAAAGAGATAGTATTTGCACAAGCTATATTAAACATTATATTCTCTGATTCGAATGTAAGATCATTCCAAATTGTTCTTGTCTAATTCTTATTAGAATTTTACAGAGCTACAAAATGAAGCGAAACGATCACATGTACTTGAAAGATGTTGTTGAGACAATGTCCTATGAACTCCTTGAAAAGGAATTTGCTTCATCTGCCTGTTGGCGATATCACGGAGCTTCATGTTATATAGAGTGTTTCACCACGATTGAGAAACCTAAATATCTGCTTTGTGTTTATTGATACAGCGAAATTTATAAGACAATTTTCACAATTTTGGTGGAGGAGTACAATGAAACAAATTTTATTACGATATCATTTTCATTGAAATTTTCAAGATCCTTGATCATTTTTATATATAATTATGTATAATATCTTTTTCAAACGTTCTTGAATGCATTTCATATGCGACACAAATTTATGTGTGCCGTATTTCTTCGTTCATGCTGGTCAAATTATGTTTCAAACATTTTTCTGTATCATTGGAAACAGAGATACTTGGGTGGTTAGGTGAAACATACTGTATATTGACAATTTTTTATAGATCATTTATTCTTGTAAAGAATACTTAAATTATCTGAAGCATTATAAAGATGCCAACGTTGAAAAATTATAGTCAATAATCCAATTTTATGCAAGACTGCTTATCTTGTGAATAGTGGACATTAGTATTTATATTAGATGAAACTGTTTTTTTTCCTCTTCATTTAGAAACTTTGAATAAATTTAATTTTCCTTTACATTTTTATTATTTTCAATGTAAAACGAGTTCTTTCGTTCATTAAGCAAGCGATCCTTTTCGAATTTACAAAATATTGCTGAAATGTGAATAGAGCGCTCGACTATTATTTTGGTAGATTAATTACTATTGTAATATTATATATTATAGGTATATATTTTTTTTATATCTATATTTAAAAGACTAATCTAACTTTCAGTTTTTTTTATAAAACAGTTTTTGTCAGATTCCTTTTAGCTTAAGTATTATTGTGATAATAACATATGTTTCATGTTCGTATAATATTTGTAAAAAAAATGAATGCAACTTAATTACGTGCCAGAGAAATGTTAATTTTCGATAACAATTGCAAAGTTTTCTCTTATTGAATTTTCACTACTCCGGTTTCAATTCTTACTGACTTCTTTTATTGCAGCCCTTAACTTAAAGCTTAGAGTTTGATGTATAAAATGTGATCAAAAAGTTTGTATTTACACGATGATCAAAGATGTTTGAATAATTGTTAAAGAAAATATACTTTTTAATGAATTTATATAACATTGGCGTTTGTCTTCAATCTAATGTACACCGATTATGAGCGAAATTAATGTTTGTTTCTAATATAAAAAAGAATTGCTATTTTTGCATTTAACCGCCATTACTTTGAAATGGAAATCGATTTCATAAAGTTCGGTTACAGTTCTTCGATGTTTCGTGTGGTCAATTGCGGATGCTGATTTAATGAATCGTTCGCTCGCGCGTTGTGTTCATAAAAGTACAAAATCGGACCCGCTTGTGCATACGTGTGAATCGGTCTCAGTTTATATGTTAAAAATAGTGTTTGGTCGTTGACGAACTATCGTTCGAGGTAAATCTAACGATTTTTTCGACATCATTTTCTAATGACGATAAAAAAGCGCCAATATCGAGAGACAAGTAATCAAAGTAACTATCTGTGTAAATCATACCGTGTGATATGACTTATTGTCAACGATAAACGTGTAAAATGTTTGTGCCTCAATGATCTTTGTTCGCGAAATCCGCCGTGTACTATAATGTAATATAATTGTTGTATGAGCATAAAGAACCGCAAAGCGGCTTCTTTGTGTCCATTGAAATATGTTCGACCATCTCAAAATGGTTAAACGCAAGTAATAATGAGGATTCTCGCTTTCATCGGTCCAAATATTTTTCGTCTAGCTTCACTGTGCGCCATAACAACGTCCATTTGTCTGTGGAAATCATTGCTCGATAAATATTTAGTGTCTTGGTGCGATTCTGTTGTATTCATGAATAATTCTCATTTCATGCATAAATTTTACTTTTTTTGTTCACTCATTTATACTATCTTTCATCTTTATTGATAATTCTCGAGCATGGTAACGGAGTTAGGTGGGGCGAATTTTGTTAGCTTGGCACAGAACACGTGCGATCGGATCTTAAAATGATCGAGTTGTAAGACATGGAATGTGAAAATAATGAAATTTAATTCTCCATATAGAATATAATACTTGACTGAAACAATAAACATTCATAATGTACAGTGATCACATTTTATAATTCCATTATTGCCTATTGAATTATGACTGTAATAATAAAAAGTTGAATATTATTACTTATTATAGATCAATAACCATGCCGGAACTAACTGAACTCGATAAAGCCATGAGCTCTGAACCTACCAAGATTGAAGCAGCAGCAGCCGGATCTGGAACTGACTCGGACTCTGATGATACTGTCCCAGAATTGGATGATGCACGTGCAGGTGGCACCGTGGGTTTTCCAGGAACAACAGTTGCTGGTCTTCCCCTTGACATGGTATCTAAGGCTAAACAAAGTCGTGGGGAGAAGAAGGCTAGAAAGCTCATGAGTAAATTAGGATTAAAACCTGTATGTTTAATAATTACATTCATGTTGTTCATCACAAAAGAGATATTTTAATTGTACTTTATTACATTATACAGGTTCAAGGGGTTAACAGAGTAACTATTCGTAAATCAAAGAATATTTTGTTTGTAATTAACAAGCCAGACGTACTGAAGAATCCAGCATCAGATACATACATTGTATTTGGTGAAGCTAAGGTAAAATTCTTGACATGGTTAATTAAATTATTGGGATTCTATTCTTCTGTATAAATGATGATCTCTTATAGTTTCGCATATTAGCTGAATAATTTTGTTGAGATATACCTTGGCAGACTGAAATTTAGTTATAGTTTTTACTCGCTTTTTTTTGTTATTTCATTATTCTTATTAAATGAATAAAAATCTTTAGATTGAAGATCTCAGTCAACAAGCTCAAGTAGCAGCTGCCGAGAAGTTCAAGGAACCTCCAGTTATTCCAGCAACTGAAGCTGGTGGCAGTACTACTGTAAGATACTATTTATATAGTCTGTTTCAATAATAATTTCAACTATTCATCACAATTGTTTCCTCTAAATAACATTTCTTATAGGTTGTTGCACCTATACAAGAGGAATCAGAAGAAGAAGTTGACGAGACAGGAGTTGAAGAAAAGGACATTGACTTGGTAGTGTGTCAAGCCAATGTGTCTCGAGGGAGAGCCATTAAAGCTCTTAAAAATAATAAGAATGACATTGTCAATGCTATTATGGTAAGTTTCAGGAAAAATTATCTTCTGTTATTCTTTAGGATAATGTATGATGACACCCCTAACGGTTTCACATTTATGATTATAATCAGAATTGAAATAATGTTGAAAATCTTGGCAGACTGACCAAACCTTTGTATGTTAAACATTGTCTCTGTGTTAGTTGAAATATTAATTTCTCGATTGTTACGTGTTTCAGGAATTGACAATGTGATAAAACTGCTTAGCAGTAGGGTGCGCTACGTCCATTGTAGTCCGCATCGTGAAATCTTATTTTATCATCTGCGTCATCTGGAAAAAAACATCATCCTTCTTTTTGTCTCATTACATTGAAAGGATAAGCTCGATTACTAAGAGATCAGAGTTCGCACGGAGATCGTGAAACTTGTCTCGGAAAAATCATGTATATACATAATTCATATGAAAAAAATAAATACACTAAGGATATTACTTGGTTTATTTCTTTAATAAAATTCGAAAACGAGTTTAGGAAAATCATTCTCTTATTCATTCCGTTGGTAAGAATTCGAAACATTTGGGGTTATTATGACAATGGTAATAGGGCATTAGTGTACCAGAAAATCAGGCCACGAAAATGGATTGGAGGTCAAGTCTATTGTTATATCTCGTTTCTGGCGCGACCTTATGTACAATCGGTGTATTAAAATCGATCTCAGAGACATCTCGAGAGATTCGTTGAAACCATGTTCGTGTTAACAGCTCCTATTCGAGTGTTCTCTATCCCGGTAAGAAAAAGGTAGTTTTAGGAACGCATTTGAAATCTTGTGCAAGAACTGACCAATTGGCAGTAGCAAAAGGGGGAGGGGCACGAAAGCTTTAGTAGCCGCCATGTTTTTCTGTGAGTGGGGTGTGTAGAAGAGGCCGGGGTGAAAATCATCTCTCGAGGCATGCAGGTATGTCAAAATTCGAAGGTTTTCTTTTAATCCCGTGGTGGACGTGATTATCTTTATTGACGTGTGCTGACAGTGTAATCTATGCGAATAAGGGTTTGTTTCTGTTTCGTAACGTCACGCAGTCTGTCGTTTTCGACGCGAAAGCTTATGACTCAGACGAAACGCATAGCGCAATCAGGCAAGGTTATTTGCATTGCTCGAGCGATGCGTCTGCCAACAATCCATATAGATAGACAGTCGTGGTGCAGCAGAATACGTTTGAAATTGTAGTTTGTTTTTGTACATCAGCTCGAGAGACATCTATCCAGTGGATAAAGCTGGTTGATGATACGTGCCAAAACCCCGAAACTCTGTGCCCTTTACGTTTCATCGTTTTCGCGCCCGCGTAATCTACCGATAAGCGTTTTTGACAGCATTCGATAACGGTCCTCGAACGTACCACTCCACCGATCTCGTCCCACGTAATTTAATGTAATATCCCAATGTCGTCCACTAAGTCACGACGTGGAATATGTGTTTTTAGATCCACGGTTCGTGCAACGTGACTTAATAGCCTCTAACGTAAACGCACGTTTCTAACTACGTCTTATATTACGCGCAAAAAGTTTACGACTGATTGAAGTTTGAACGTGGTAGCTGTTATCGTTTGACATTCACAGACGAATTCAAAATCACGAGACATATAAATCAGATGAATTTTCGACGCTTTCGATAGAGCAAGAATTTGATGTGAATTATCAAATTTATTTTATCTTACATTTAATTGTTGTATGCCATAATAGAATTAAGGAGGTTCGTTTTCAATGACGTTTCGTAACATGACGTGTTCCGTAATTCGCGTTACTGTAAAAAAATATGCATATTCTGTGATTAACTTGGTGCATTATCTAAAAGTGACATTAGTCACAGTTTGATTTCTATGCGCTCAGCAGAAATATCTATGACTCATTTAGTTTGCATTTCTAGCCACTGTAATATGTATTTAACAACATTCAATGTTATCGCAAAATACTAATTACAACCGTCCGCGATAGTGTCATTAAATGTTGGTTTAACATTGTTTTTGTGTACAGTCCTTTCTTTCTGTGTAGTGCTTTAGTTTCGCATGATGTATAAGTTATTATATCCGCACTAATATTTATTTAAATGCAATGAGAGTAATAGTTTCATACCACTAATAGCTAATGTACTGCTTATGTAATAAATGTGATAACGTTTTGTTTATAGATTTAAGATTACAATGTATACAAAGAAATTAAACTTGAACTCAATGTATTGCTCAAAATTTGTTTGATTATATTTTTTAATCATATAAATAAATGGTGTTAATGAAATGAGAATTGAACGCATTTTTTTATTTATTCATAGGGAGTACTCTTTTCTATCTTAAGATTGTTCGTAAGTGTAACCGGAGAAAATTATAAAATTTCAGTGTCAAAATGGGAAGGAAACTAAACTTGTTATCCTTCGCTAAGACCTGCCAGCCTCATTTCCACAAAATATCCACCACCTGTGCACAAGAACCAAATAATTTTTAATTGAAGTAACTGAACACTACCACTAATCGTGGGAAACATAAAATAAAACTCAAGAAATTATAAGTAACCAAGAGAAGTAAAAGAATATTTATCAAGTTAATACATGTCAAGGTGGTGGATTCAGTAAAATTGAAACATTAAAGGACAATAATATAATACAATAACTCTATTGTAAATAGGTAAGTTGACTTCTTGTTTAATTTTCTTATTGGCCATCGCTAACGTATATTACACGTTGTACATTGTATTTTATTTCATTCAATTTTTAAGGAGAGAAGATGATCACCCTGGAGGTAGTAGAGTCTGTGAAAGTTCTTGGGTCTAGGAGGAACTTTAATCAAAGGAAATGAGGAACCCGGCACTGCATCTGGTCGGGATAGCGGCGTCCCCTGGAGGAGGTGAAGTTTTTGGTACAAGGGCCGAGGAGGAGTTGCGTCAGTGGCTAGAGACACGCTTGGACGCATTGGGAATAGACCCAATTGCGTACTCGCGGTTTGTACTCAGCTTACTACGCCGCCCCGACTCGGCCCTAAGTCCTCCAGAAGAAGCTGTAGGTACAGGAAGATACGGAGGACGTCGTATACGTGCCCGACCCAAAGCAAAGCTGCCATCACAAGGAGATAGAGAACAGAGACGTGCTGTTGTGCAATGTCTGACAAGTGCTGCCGATAATGTGAGCGACATCAATTATTTCATATCAATCTATGAATAATTGTATGCCTATCTCTAATTATTTACAACACCCATATTTAAATTATCTAGAAATGTGGAGTAGAAACGCTGGTCGATGAATTATGCATGAAACTACGAGATTTGGAAGGTGGTGGCTCAAGCGAGAAAGAAGAAGAATCCAAAAAATCTGATGGTGAAAACAAGGCAAGCCTGGAGTCGCTTACCCCTCGCGACAGAGCCCTCAGATATTATGCAGCATTTCCTGCTTTGCAACCTACAACTCTGAAAAAAGTTTCTCAAAGAAAGGAGAGAAACTTAGGAAACAATAACAACAACAATAATAACAACAACAACAACAATAATAATAACAACAACAATAACAACAACAACAACAACAGCAGTAACAATAAAATCAACGGGGTTAGCTATAATAATAACAAAAATAACAATAAATCTCGCAATAAGAAAACCAAAATGTCCATTGTAAGTGTTGAACAATAGTACATTTTTTATTAGATATATATTAGACGTATGCGGGGCGTTGAATAAAAATGTTTGATCGCGGTTACATATGTATTTGTTTAGAGCATCGAACCACGAAGATCAGAGGAAAAAGAAAGTTTTGGATTTGTTAAGTCAATGGAACGCGAAAGAGAAATGGAACGAGAATTAGAATTGGATCAATTGAGATTGGCACAGTTGCAAGCGAAGTTTAATGAAAGCTTGGAAGCACTTTGGGATTCAGGACCAGGCAATGCACAGGACACAGCTTCTATTTGGGCGGCTCCCACTCTCTCTATTCCTTCAGGACCCCTTTGGCCGACAGACACTACCGAGACAATCTTTACTTTATCCACCTCGGACAATGGTTACGCTACTGACACACCGTACCAGGAATCAATTGTCGACGACTCGCCACTCATTCCATGGGATATCGACTTGATCAGCATCGAGGATTACGCGGATGAATGTAGTAACAAGAATAAATCAGGTTAGTATCTAAACAGTATCTATAATCTATGAGTATCACGATATAGTAATATTGACTTAAGTATATCTAACGGATAGGAGATGGTTCTGAAATGTAAGTAAAATGTATACACATTAAGTTAGACGTAGATTGCTATATCTGTGTCGTGCTACGAATGTGTCTTTCATTATTCATTTTCGTTCCATTATCGTGTGTATAAGTTAGTTGCTAACCGTACCATACAAATGTATATCAGTTAGTATTTCCAATTGTAACATTTCAGAGAACAATGTTAACTGGTCTGACTCAGCTATGGATGGATCTTGGTGCTGGAAAGGGCTCGGCAGCAATTTGGCTGCGTTGGGCCACAGTCCTCAGACAGGTAGCTGCTTCTTTCCAGTCGCACCTCGTAAAACACCCATAGGAACACGCAAAGAATCTCGTTCAAATCTGAAGGTGAACAGCCTTCCGGAACCGGACGAGGACTTGCTCACTTCCGCTCGCACACACTTTCGTCCAATAAAGGATGACGGTCAGTGGGCCGACGGGACTACATTTCCTGTGAACAATACCTTAGAGCGAGTTGCGTATCGCAGATCTGAGTCAGGGAACTTGTTATACCTTCCTGGTGGAGAGAGCCCGTACATGGAGTATCGGGAGAGTGACTCGCCGATTCCGCCGGTATCGTCGAATTTAACGTTGAAATTCAGGGTGCGTCAATGTGACAAGTGCGTTCAAACCGAGCCCATTCGATCTCCGGTCAAACGCAGAATTCTCTCCGAACAGGATCATTTCCATTATACTCCAGTCGGAGTAGAAGATACTGTTATTCGCGAAGAGGAAAAAGTCAAGAAAGATTGCTATGCATTGGGTCAACTGGGCTGGGTACAATCTAATGTACCTCTGCACAATGATAGGAAAAGGTAATCAGCACGATACTAAGAAAATTCACATAGTTGTTGACGGCTATGTTTTCTTTTATTTTTTATTTTTTTCCTTCCTTTCTTTCTTTCTGTACACGCTCTGAACCATGTCGATCGGCTAGATTACCATTATTTAAGGAATGTTCATCGCCGTTATCGTTACGTTGTTCCTTTAACGAAAACTGATCACCTTCATAGTTCGTTCGGAGGTACGGAGCGTATTTATTAGACCAAAGATCATTGCCCGATCAGTCGAAGCAAAATTTATGTTTGTTAATCGTTCAT